AGTTCAAATGTAGTCAAAGACTTTTTTGGCAATGCTTATCTTTTTAATTTATTCTGTTACAATCTCACAATCCTTTTTCCTCCAATGGAATTTGTAGACAGTAGTCAACATATTTGGGTAGGATATAAATTCTAATTGATCAGAACACTCACACGCTTCCATATGCTCATTGTTGGAAGAAAGTCCAACCCCATGTATGAACACATGGACTTTCCATGTGGAAGTTTGCTTCACCGGCCTATAAACCAATTGTGGGTTAGATTGCTTTGTTGAAATCATGCAAGATTGCATGTTGACTCATTTAATGAGCAAAGAAAATCATGGACGGGTGGTAATGAAGCAAAGAAAAATGGTCCATGGGTGGTTGGGATTTTTCACCATAAATACCCATGCATGCAAAGGCAATGGACAAGCAAGAGTAGGAGAAAGCAAGAGAAATTGAGTGAGAGCTCTTGTGAGAGAAAAGAAAGAGAGAAATTGTGAGAAATCATTGTGTAGATTAAGAGGGAATATTAGGGAGAATTTGGGAGCTTCTATACATTGAATTTAGGGTGTTGAGTGTTTCTTGAGTGACAGAGCTTCTAAATTATTGTACTATTTTTCTTAATAGTGGATTTATTTCTCTCTTTCCCGTGGACATAAACTTATTGAGAGGTGTACAAGTCGAACCACGTTAAATTATTGTCTCAATTTCTTTATTGCTTCCATTTGTGTGGGATTGTGGTGCTCGAAATTCCCAACAAGTGGTATCAAAGCTGTTTGTAGAGCTCTTGGTGTTGTGGCGAAATGGAAGCTGAAGCCATGAAGTATTCAATTGAGCTGTTTGACGGCAAGAATGACTTTGCTTTATGGCAAAGCACTGTGAAGGATGTCCTTACTTGTCAAGGACTTGACGCAGCTCTAGAAGAGACCAAGCCAGCTAAGATGAAGGATAGTGATTGGAGTACTATCCAGAAGAAGGCAACAAGTCAAATTCGGTTGGCGAAATACAACGTCTTTTCAGAGACTACTCCAATAGGCATGTGGAAGAAGCTTGAAAAGATATATGCTTCAAAATCTTTAACCAATCGGCTGTATTTAAAGATGGAGCTATATCAATTGAAGATGGCAGAAGGCACAAATATTCATAAGCACTTATCTGATTTCAACATGATGGTGACACAAGTAGTGAATGCTGGAGACATTCTAGAAGAAGAGGAGAAGGGTTTGCTTTTACTTGCATCCTTGCCAAAGTCTTACAAGTCCCTAGTGCAGAGCATGCTAGTGGGTAAGACTACTTTGGTGATGAAATATGTCACATCCATGTTGTTGGAGAATGATAAGTTTCTTGGGGAGGATGATGGTGCCAATCAAACTAATGCTTTGGTGATGGAGCACTCTCAGGGAAGATCCAATGGACGTGGAGGTGGAGGAAATTGAGAAAGGTTGAAATCCAGACCTAAGAAGGATTATGGTGTAGTACAGTGTTTTTATTGTGGTGAGTTGAGTCACAAACAGTATAAATGCCCAAAGTTTAAGGAGGACTTTTCTAATATGAAAATATTAATGAAAAGTCAAGAAATCAAGGGCAAGGGGGAGGCTAATATTGTTGAAGAAAATGTGGTTGAAGTATTAGCTTGTGAAGAGTGTGATCCTGAGGTGGAGCAAAACAATCAAAGGTGGATTTTGGACTCCGCTGCAACTATGCATGTGTGCAATAATCCTTCGGAATTTGTGAGTTTGGTTCGGGGGGAGCTTGGCAAAATAACAGTGGCTACCGACGAGAAGGTGAATATTGAAGGCATGGGAGATGTTCGTCTCAATGTTCACAATGGGAGAGCCAAGATTCTCAAGAATGTGAGATATGTGCCCAAGTGTTCAAGCAATATTATTGCTTTGAGTGAGTTGACAACACGAGGGTGCAAGTATGTCAGAAAGCAAGAATGGTGCAAGGTCTACAAAGGTGGGAGACTTGTTCTACGTGGAAGGAAGAACAAGCAGAACATCTATTTGCTTGAGCAACATCTCGAGAGAGGGCTTAACAAGATCATGAGGAAGATGGTGTGGAAGCCTAAAGGGATCTTGGTAGACGGCAAGGAAATTAATAAGACCAAGAAGAAGGTGAGCTTTAGCAATGAAGTAGTGTTTGATGATGGTTCGAGGAGGTGCGATTTTCCCTCGGATCATATCTTAGTTCAAAATTAATTTCTGTAATGCTCCTACTGTAGGTTTGTCCTATCCTATACTAGGAGGAAGCTCTCAAAAATAGGACACCATGATGAAGTGTTCCTAAGCAGGGGGAGCAAAATTATGGAATGTTGAAGTGTATGGAGTCATGGTTGGTTTCTTCTCCCATAGGGTTGGAAGGGGAGATTGTTGGAAGAAAGTCCAACCCCATGTATGAACACATGGACTTTCCATGTGGAAGTTTGCTTCACTGGCCTATAAGCCAATTGTGGGCTAGATTACTTTGTTGAAATCATGCAAGATTGCATGTTGACTCATTTAATGAGCAAAGAAAATCATGGATGGGTGGTAATGAAGCAAAGAAAAATGGTGCATGGGTGGTTGGGATTTTTCACTATAAATACCCAGGCATGCAAAGGCAATGGACAAGCAAGAGTAGGAGAAAGCAAGAGAAATTGAGTGAGAGCTCTTGTGAGAGAAAAGAAAGAGATAAATTGTGAGAAATCCTTGCGTAGATTAAGAGGGAGTATTAGGGAGAATTTGGGAGTTTCTATACATTGAAGCTAGGGTGTTGAGTGCTTCTTGAGTGAGAGAGCTTTTAAATTATTGTACTTTTTTTCTTAATAGTGGATTTATTTTTCTCTTTCCCGTGGACGTAGACTTGTTGAGAGGTGTACAAGTCAAACCATGTTAAATTATTGTCGCAATTTCTTTATCCTTCTGTTTGTGTGGGATTGTAGTGCTCGAAATTCCCAACAAGTATGCTCATGACTGCAATTCTTCATGTGTTGTGCTGATCCTATCATTTTGCATCTCTCTCTTCCCCTCTTCCTCCCTTCCATAGATTTTTATTTTTTTTTAATGAGTAACAATTGAGTCAGCTTCCAATGTGCCTTTTCTGTTTGGACAGTCAGGTAAAAAAA